ATGAAACTTATTCAAATGCTAGCAGACGCAAAGCTTACGTCTAATACCCAACCAAGCAGTTCTAATCCTACTACTACTGCACCATCAGTTGATGGTATCGCTAACAGTATCTCCGAGTTTCATTACGATCCAGAATCCAATGTCACGTTTGATATGTGGTTTCGACGTTACGAAGACTTATTCAAATTGGACTTTGCTAATCAGGATGATGCTTGGAAGGTCCGCTTGCTGCTTCGAAAGTTGGGTCCTAGTGAACTAGACAGGTATTGCAACCTAATCCTGCCTCTAAACCCACGCGATCGTTCATTCTCGGACACTGTCCAGTCATTGAGCCAACAATTCGGAGACAACTCCTCATTATTCAATGCGCGTTACCGATGTTTGAAGCTCACTATGAACGAAGATGATGATTTTCTCACACATGTGGGTATCGTCAACCGAGAATGTGAACGCTTCCGGTTGAAGTCGCTTACTGAAGACCAATTTAAAGCACTCATTCTCATCTGCAGCCTTCAATCGCAGAAGTTCAGTGACATTAGAACACGTTTGCTAAGTCGATTGGACCAAGACCCAAAACTAACTCCTAATGATATTGCAAACGAATATCAACGCCTAATCAATCTACAGCGTGATACTACAATGGTCCAGCGTGGTGGTTCAGATCGTACCGAAGTTCATGTAGTCCAACAACCACGCAACTCGCATAAATCTGCCCCAGTGACATCTAGTTCAGGTCGACAGACAAAAACAAATCCTCCTGCTCCATGCTGGCACTGCGGTGCATGGCATTTTGTTCGATACTGTCCATATAAGCAACATCGGTGCAGGAAATGTAATGCGGTGGGTCATAAAGATGGTTTTTGTCGAAAAAAGAAGCCGAGCAGCTCCAGAGGTACCAGAAAACCTACGCCTAGATCCAACACGAATTCGTTGAGTTTAATAGCAAGCTGTGAGTACTCAATCCCAGTTGAGAGGAAATTTATTCCCCTAATATTAATGGGCATTCATCTAGATTGCAAATAGATACGGCATCAGATGTCAATATCCTCTCTCGTAAGACTTGGACCAAAATGGGCAGCCCAAACTTGCAGCGTACAACGCAAAAGCCTCGTACTGCGTGTGGTAATTACCTTAACCTTCTAGGACAAATCGAATGTACAGTTACTTTCCGTAATTTTACATTTGTCGGGGTATGCTACATAACGTCAGCTGATCTAAATTTGCTCGGTTTAGATTGGTTCGATCACTTAAATTTAGCTGATGTCCCGTTGAATACCATATGCAACCGGGTATCACAACCCCAACTACGACAACAACCATATGACTTGGAAGTATATACGAGGAACCTAATGACGGAGTTGTCAACCAGCGAACACCATACGGCCGGCAAAGATGCAGTTATTACCTCCCTATTGACAGAGGACCACGCACAGTGTCAGCAAGCAGCCAAATGTAACGCGAAACTACTACCGGTCCCATGGCCACAGCCTGAGTATCCCTGGTCCAGGATACATGTCGATTTCGCAGGCCCAATTAATGGAATCACCTATCTAGTCGTTGTTGACGCCTTTTCGAAATGGCCAGAAATCGTTCCTGTCACGCCACCAACGACAACCTAAATGATGCAACTTTTGACAGAGATGTTCTCTCGCAACGGACTACCGGATATAATCGTTTCCGATAATGGTTCGCAATTCACCTCAAGTCAATTTCAAGAATTTTGCAAACGCCTATCGATCAAGCATTTCCGCTCTCCACCTTACCACCCACAGTCAAATGGCCAGGCAGAAAGATTTGTGGATACATTCAAGAGAGCTCTAATGAAGTCGAAAGGGGAGGGGACGCCAGTAGAAACACTGCAGAATTTCTTGTTTGTTTACCGAACAACACCTAGTGATATGCTACCACAGCAGAAGTCCCCGGCAGAGATCCTGACGGGAAGGAAATTGAGGACGGTCCACAGTCTCATGTGCCCAAGAACCACATCACCACCATCTCAGATCAAATCTCAGAAGCTTCCAGCGTACGAGGTTGGATGCCCTGTGTTCGCTCGAGACTACAGAGCAAATCATGGTCCTTGGATCGAAGCACGTGTGGTTGGAAGACTAGGCGAAGTTATGTACAAGGTAAAGGTGGGAAGAGACACGTGGACTAGACACCGAAATCAACTACGTAAGCGGATAGCCCCAGACCACCCATCAACAGGAGTAAATCTCCCCCTCGACATCTTGCTTGATACTTTCAACTTACCGGCAACCCCACCACAAGAAAAACCTCAACAACAAGCTGAAACACGTCCCAGACGGTGGCCCATAAGAGAACGGCGAGCTACAGTCAAGATGCAGGTTGACCCCAGGAAAGCCCGCTATTAAAAAGGGGAGTAGTGTTGGGGACGATAGATCCCCAAACTCATACTTTTAAATTTTATCGCATCGATCAACTTATTGATTAAATGTTTAAATATTTGTATTGGGGTCAATTGATGAACTGATCGATTAAATGTTTGAATAGCAGTCAGTTGATGAATCTATCGATTCAATGTGCAAACAGGTCAATTTATGAACTCATTGAGTAGTGTTTAAAAAAATTTCTATGACAATATCGATTATATATATATATATGTTTTAAATTGTGCTGCTTGCTTGCTTGCTCGCTTCTGGCTGTTGCAGAATATATTTTCCATACCAAGCCTGGACTTCTTCTTCTAGATAGCGGGGCTGGGACGCGTCAATAGTTAGATCACTGGTCTTTGGTCACTGAGTATTGTTCTCGTTCGCAGTTTAAGTGAACTCGTGAAGTTTCAAACATAACAGTATGGCAATGAATGATACATCGAACGAAAGCTCATGTTCGGTAGAATAAAATAGGGACAAAAATAGATATAAGTGTTTTACAAGGTTTGAATAAAATGAAATAACGTCCCAAGAAATAGCTTTCGTAGTTTGTCTGGGCTTCTTATTTCCCTGTTCACAACAAATCCCTAGACTGTCGAACACAGAGTCTTGGTTCAGCCAAAGTCAGAACAAGTAAGCAATTTGGCTCGATAAACTTTGTCTGTTTCTAAAACGTAAACTAACACCGTTAGTGTACAAAACAAACAGTACAGTCTATAAACACAGGGAAAAACAGAGACATAAATAACGTACCGAACAGTAGCTAGAGAGTAGGAAAAATGAGTCAACAGAGCAAATATTGTTTTATAATAAACATCGAATTGTGATTGGTGAATAAATAAGACATAGTCATACAAGGTCAAGAAAAGTTAGTATGATGGTGAACGTTTCACTTCACTATTGGTGAGTTTGTTTATCGATCAAATTTTACAGCTTCCGTTGTACTTCGTAGGTTGTTCAAGACCCGAGAAAGATTGACTCGCGAGGAGCAGGCTGGTTTTCGTTCCGGTTGAGGATGTATCGATCATATCTTCACCCTCCGCCAAATGTTAGAACACCGTCATACTTATCAAAGGCCAACAATCGTAGTGTTTCTTGACATCAGGCCTGCCTTCGATTCGTTGGACAGGACTATTCTCTGGGACTGTCTATTGAAGGAGGGTGTGCCTGAGAAGTTTATTAGCATCCTAAAGGCCCTATATACGAACACCTCCGCGTCGGTGAGAGCAGTTTTGCTCTATGCTTGTGAAACCTGGCCTCTCCGAGTTGAGGATGTTAGACGACTCTTTGTGTTCGATTATCGCTGTCTCCTAAGGATTGCTGACATCCAGTGGCGACACCATGTTAGTAATGCAGAGGTTCGGCATCGTGTGTTCGGGCACAGAGACGATAATGCAATTGGTGTCATCATCTTGAAACACCGACTTCGGTGGCTTGGACATGTCCTACGAATGTCGTCCCAGAGAATTCCACGTCGTGCATTATTTGCCGACGCTGGGACTGGTTGGAAGAAGCGGAGAGATGGTCAGTATATGACATGGTGTCGTGGTACGAAAGAAAACTGCAAAGGGCTGGCTTTTGTTGGCCCTTCACGACTCCCTGGTCGGGGTCCTAGAGATGGTGCGACACAGTGGCTAGAGACGTTATCAGATATTGCTCAGAATAGAAGCCAGTGGCGATCCTGTTGTAACCTTTTACTTTCTCCATAAAAAGTGGTTGCTTCTTCCTTAACTGAAAGATTTCTTCTGATTGTACCTTTTCGTTTCCCTCATTATTATTATTACACTACCTTACACTAATCTGTACGTTATTGTTTTTTACGCTCCTTACTTTTTTTCCTTCTCTTCAAATTCTCATTGTTTTGTGTGGCGCATATGTATTTGGTGCCCTCTTGTACCAATATTTATGTGTTCAAATAAATAAGTATAATAAATATGAAAGAAAGGAGATCGCAACAAGTTTGAGAACTATAGAGGCATCATACTACTGTCAGTACCAGGACAGGTTCTCAACAGTGTTGCTGAACTGTATGGAAGATTCAGTAGACGTCCAGCTTCAGGGTCAACAGACCGGATTCCGTAAGGAAAGGTCGTGCACAGAACAAATCATGACATTGACAATCATCATCGAACATGGTGAGTGGAACTCGTCAGTGCACACCAACTTCTTTGTCTTTGAGAACGCGTTTCACAGAGTGGATAGAAGAACATTATGGAACCATCTTCAACACTATAATGTACATAATTAGATTGTCTACATCATACGAAATTCACAAGACAAACTACACTGCGAAGTCGTCAGTGGAAGACAACTGACAAATGCATTCAAGTAAGCACCGGTGTCAGACAAGGTTGCTTATTCTCGTTTCTCTTCCTTCTGCTGGTTGACTGGATTATCAAGACCACACCTGAGGAAAGCACGAAGTAAAATGGACAGCTCGAAATCAATCAAAAGATCTGGACTTCGCAGATAACCTTGCTCTTTTATCCTATACACACCAACAAATGCAGATGAAGACAATTATGTAGGAAAACAAGTATACGCAAACTGGTTTTAGAAGGCTTCAATCAATACACCTTGACAGTTACGCGCAAAATAATAACTTACTCTGAGTCATTCCTCTGCCAACATCCCATAACATCACATCTCCACTTGTAGATGCAGTTGCAAGGATATCTAAGGTAAAATATATATATATATGAAGTGTAAGAGCTTTATGACAAAATTAGGGAAACTTGTTTAGAAAAGTCCTAAACGAATAAATGAATTTATGATCATAGTCAAACAAGCCAAATAAAAACATATTCAATTTTGGTAGGTGACCTAGATAAAAAAAATTTTAATGATCTTGCATTATTAAACAATGATCAGTAAGATGTATCTAAAACTGAAATTGATTATCCAAACAAATATTTGAATTTGCACTGTTTACCACCATGCAGAATGTCTTAATTCAGGTCAAACAATATCATGGTTTCCACTAAAAAGGAAGACACTAACTACGAAATACAATAACCATATCACGAAACTAGGTATTAAAAAACTATGACCTGAATACTACTAATATAAATGGCTAACACTTCCTCGAGCTAACCTTGTTATCGAAGCCTTTTAATCTATTTGTCTATGGACAATCTATTTTAGTGACTAATAAACCTTTAAACAAACGTTGTTAGTATACTTTAGGTAACAGAGTTCCTATTTAGCTCAAAAGACAACTACTTGTAAAGACAGGAAAGATTTATTGTGAAGATAACAATACATAAGAACGTGTCATTTGATTAAAAACTAATCAGAAGATATACACATAGTTTAGATTTCCTCTGTATATTACTTACTAAAATCTCTAAGATTTACAAAATATTTGATCTTTCAATAGAATATTCGAGTAGAACGTTTTAATAGCAGTTAATACAAGTAGCAAGAAAACCTGAATTTAGCAACCCAACAGTTAACATTTGGAAGTATGGAGTGACCAGTGATAGTTTTCAGTAGAAATGTAAACATCTACAAGAAAATAGGAGCATTGAATAAGTTCGAGATTAAAAAAAGTAGCCACTACCTCAGATTTCAACGCAAACTACCAATGAAAAACTGTGTAATTAGGAATAAATGTTCAAATAGTTATTTAACAGCTAAATCAATGGACAGAAGGAATTAAAGATTCATTTCATACTTGCTCAGAATCACCACCAAAATGGATCTGTAACAGGGTTACAGCTGTAACACCAAGTGACTACAATACTGAGTAACGGATCTGAGTCCCTTAGACTAAGAACTTCCTTGTCGTTGAAGATATGTCTTGGCGAAAATCACGCGCGTGAAACCTGATTTATGTGCTTTAACAGCCATCTAAAATATAACGGAATCTTAAACCGTCTAGTTTATCGAAAAGGATGAGAAACGAACTGATAAAATTCGGTTATTATTGTAGACTAGAAAGGATGACGTTGCACTAACTCCAGTAACTAATTAGTGACTGTTAATGTTGAGTAGTATATATGAGAAAGTTTTACACAGTGATCAGGATAAAGTACTGTATAGATTTCAAAAACAGCATTTTACTTCATTATATATGAAAATTATGTTTGAAATAATCTCAGCGATTGAAATTTAAATAATTTCAACGTTTCGTCCAGCTAGATTGTCTGGACTTCTTCAGGGTAATAATCAAAATCAAAATCATTAAAGAAATATAAAGCTTTTAACAATCAAAATTATACGTTGTTAAATCAATCAAATTTGGATGTTGGTTTTTGTAAAATAGGATAAAATGGGTCACTTAAATACAAATCATGTGAAAAATCCATGTATTTAAATTTTATTTCAAATATAATGACTTCGCTATACTTGGTGTCCAATTTCTGTCAAACTAATCGTTCTAATCTTGACGAATATTTGTATAAAGCAATTTACTTCGCTGTTAAAAGATCTGTTAAAAACAACCGCACGTAGAAATAGGTGAAAAAGTACATAGGTTTAAAAAACAATATCAACAGACACAATCATTTGTGACACTAAAATCAGATCTCTGAAACACTGCGATAGATTAGTTGCATGTTATTTGAATCAATACTTCTGAAACGAAAGACCAGAGCACATGAAATAGAAGTGTAGTATGCTCGAGTATCGAATGTAAGAATACATGTACCAAGATAAGGTTAACCATCATTCGTAAAACTTACCACCTACATTTGACCAGCTTACATCTGTAACGCTGTGAGAACGAGGTTGATTTATAGCTGATTGTATCACAGGGCTATGTCGAGCAGGTATCGGTTCTGTTGCAGTAACAATAGTTCCATGAGTTGGATTCGGGCCACATTCTGTCCCAATGGAATCAATTACGGATGTCTTTGATTTTGGAATATCAGACACAACCAAACGCGAGGGCGTTTTAACACGATGTAGCTATATAACGTAGTTCAAAATCAAAGCAATAATAAGACTTTTTGGAGCATTTTCAATATTGACCGTTATTGTAGTCTGTTCCCGAACTGTTTAATATACATAAGCTTTTTAATAATCTACATTGAACGGGTGAATTCTCGATTTGATGCAGGCATTCTGGATAGTTTATATTAAAATTTTAATTCATCGCCCTCAGAAGAGACATGTTAACATAGTAGAGGTATTTTACTTGAACACACAATCAATTAGTGGATTACTGAGCTATCGTGCTAGGCAACTACGTGAACTGATCTGCCAGAAATTCCCGTTTCCAATACAATAAGGTTTTTTGCAAATGACATTCAGCTCCCAAATTTTTATATACTGACTATTTACAGACTGAATAGACTCAGAGTAAGCATAAGAAAAATAGATGAAGAAACGGAAGAAAACTCCGCACATATTTAAATGGGAATTTTCGGAATACATAGCATATCGCACGCCGAAAAATACTAAACGTCGGTATATATATATATATATATATATATATATATATATATATATTACATAATTCAACATTAAGTAGTGTAAGTCAATGCATTAAGCATTTCAGTTGCCTGCTTATTTAACACATAAACATTGGTACAGGGAAGTACCAAATGGATATACGCGAAATCCATTCACCCATTTGGCTAAATAGAGTCTTGGTATTATAGTTGATGTCAGTTCGTGATGAAAACCCTGAATCTAATTCCTAACCCCAACCATCAAATGTAAATCATAATCCTTATTCTTCAAACTGCTTCATAATTCTCATTTGGTTCTAGTTATTAGGTGGACACTGTTAGGGTAATACTTGCGTCGCTCAAAGCTCGTCCATAAATTATAGTCTCAATCCGGTGACCAACAATTGGTTCATACGCCATTTGTTCCCTTAAAACCCTGGAGCCCACGTGCATTATTGGTTTGGAATCAGGGTTTTCCGACTTCCTTAGGTAGATCTTCCGTATCCACCAACATGGCCAAAGCGCTGGACATTTGCTTCTCACTCTCAATTTTGTAAACAACGTTCCCGCAGCGAAAAGCAGGAGTACGACTTTCCTGGTAGTGACTGCATGTGTGGTTAATTAAGAGTTCTTAGTAGGGTGGTTATTAATAAAGTCATTCTAGTTAGTGTAGCTTACGCAAATGAATTAACCAGTCATGTCACCGAACAAGTTATTTCCGAGATCTTAATGTCATTTTGCAGTTATGATTACATCTGCATGAACGACCATTTGCCATCATTTGCTGAGTGGTCACAGATATTATTCAACCTTAAGGTTGTCAACAGAGGTTAGTAGATATTCATACATGAACGAAAATCCCTTTCTCGTTCTGAAATAGTAAAGTGAGATCTATGAACTTCAGGAATAACTATAGCGGACCAAGCCTATAAAAGTTCCATCCAAACGAATACCTGATAAGGTTACAAATTTCAGTTTCGAGCATTAGGGCCGGAAGCATTATTCATACAATCAAAGTGAAAGTTTATCTCCATAGTATTAAAAGTGGTAAGGGCTAATATAGGTCGACTGACCTATTTTTACTACTGAAGTCTAAAGAAACGTACCGAAATGAATTTGTCTTCATGCACACTGAATACTTGAAATAGGTTTCTACCGGCAACTGCTACCATTTCAGCTTTAGAACTGACAGCCATGCACATTAGTGGGCTTTCTGTTGTGTAAATAATTGTTTTTTTTCCACAGACATTTTCCTTCTCTCCATATGTATCGCTCATTTGTAATTCAAATCAATCTGACAAAAATAAACAGACATAAACTTTTCTGTTTTTATCCATATAACTTTTTTTACACTTACTGGATCCTGGTTAGTGTCTAACTAGTGAGAGTCACAAATAACGGGACCATTGAACGTGAGTTCTACGGTAGCATTGTTAACGAATGTCCACCTCTCCCAATGTCCAATATCATTTGACTGAGCTAGTATTAGTAAGTTCAACAGCAATTTGTGAGTTGATACACTGACAGTTCAAGTATATACAATAAACCTAAGACGAAGAGATTTTGTAAACTAGCAGTCATCACATTACCAAGTAAAATTGATTATTAACACTGAAATTTGTGAAACTGTAACAGAAAACAATAAAGACGATAAAAGAACCAAGTGACATGAATAAATTAGCTGATCGAACCAATAAATGAATGAAACTGTAAGGACTTCGAGTAAACAGAGATGAGAACTGCATAACTGAGTATGAAAGGTTAAAAGACATCCAGAAGACAGGACAAAAAAATGCATAAACCTTCTCCCATATCAAAAGTCGTTTTTCAAGTTTAAATTGCGGATATGTTTGGGGAGCGCTATAAGAACGTGAGAAAGGGTCACAATTTCTGCTTGACAGTAGATAACGCCACACTAAAATCTGCCTAAACATCAGCGAGTTATAGTGTCTTCATTTCGTCTCCACTGTATAGTGTAAACGATTTTCCACGTTATTTATGCCGGTAATTGAGGCTACCATTACTTATACATCCGTTTCCTCATCGTTTAACCCTAAGTTTATGTCTAAATAACTGTTATCTAGCTTCACTAATCGGCTCTCTGTGGTACCAGAATACTGTTGAGCTAGTGATCTTATTGTTTGGCCAACATCTGTGCAGTCTTTGAAATTTTCCACGAACTTCGCCACAATTTTCAGTTTCCTAAATGTTTATATTTACTTACTATGTTATTGACGTTATTATCCAGCTGAACGCCCGGTCAGTTTTCAGCACAAATAACAATAATGTTATTGAACTATGATACCGTCACATACAACCGAACAAGTAAAGTCACTCAGAACAAGCTCCACAGCCTGTGGGAATGGTTAGAATATACTTATTTTGTAGTTGGTTTTTGTTATTATTCGCATTTCTCACTGATTCACATAATTTGTACTGCTACTATTTTTGACCATATAATTTTTGTTTTGACATTGGATCTTCCGTTTTCGAATAGCCCGTAGCATGAAAAACTGATCGTCGCTCACAAACATGTAAAGTTATTAATCCCTAACCACGCAGTTCTTGAAGTTGAACATATAATTACTGAGAAGACCGACATTCAACAGTTAACACGAAGAGAAGGTCAGAAATTATAATCGCGGGACAATTCGATAGGATGTCATAGCTTAGCCTTGAGTGCGTGGTCATTCCTATGTAGATTAACTCTTCTATTCATATTAAATATATTGTTCTATCTCCAGCCGAAATGTGTTGTTTAGAAACGCCAAACCTCATATTGCTGATTGTTACTATATGGCGAGTCAGAATTGGAAATGACATGACTTCCAAGTAAGATTTACATATGAGGTTTCTACATCATGACAAATTTATAACTTTAGGATTACGTCTATTATTATAGCCATACTAATAAAGATCTGGATCATAATTCCACAAATATACTGCTTCGTGTTTCTAATTACCTGCTATTATGATAACAGAACTCTGATTTGTTTGCTGTATACGTTTGCAAATCACAGTGATACTCTCATTACACGCTTTATCTGGATATACATCTCGGGCTATAACAATTATAGTTGGAATAACTAACTACTTATAGTTATGGATTGTCAAACCAAAATAAACTCCAACGCGCTAATTCCTGACAATTGAAGTGACGTCCTGTATATTTTTCATGTGTGTATACTTTACAGTTGGTATATTAACACACTAATTTTTGACGTAGTAACATTATTACTATCTTTGGAATCGATATATTTTTGGTCCTTCAAAAGCCTAACATCAAGTAAACAGCCATTCCGTCGTACGTCTGCTACAATCAAACCAGGAAATTCATTGCAAAGTTCTGATTCAGCGCCTTTATCGTATGTGGACAAATCCAGAGGTGTAAATGGTTCGAGGCATTTGTGGAGCCGGCTGATTCTTAAATATTCTAACGATAAGCATACATAAAAAAGGTCAAATTATAACTTATCACCGCTGTTTAGCACTGTATACATGTTGTTATTACGAAATATGATCAGAGCATCTGGAAAAGAACCAAAAGGAATTCCCTTGGTAGGCTGATATATATATATAACTATGCGATTGATGAAGTATCACCTCCTCGTTTTTATCATGCATAAGTCAAATACTTTCTTCCTAAGTGAACCGATTAACTGCTACGTGCAAGTTACATTTTACGTCCGATGATACAATTGTTTGTAGGATATGTGAGGACGGCCCACCGGTGAACTCGAATAAGTTCTAATAAGTTCAGAAAGATCCGAAGACATTCCATCTAATCATCTTTCGGAAAAATATACCAGAATCCCTACGTGTAGCTTCCCTATTGAACAAATGCTAATAACTCCCTGTATGCTGATTGGAGGATTATAATGACGATTTCTTTTTTACTAAAAACTATAAAAACCTGACAGTTTTGTATCATAAATGACACTTTCGGAATGGCATTTCTTTCGCTTATCTTCTGTCTTCTTATTTGCGACTTGGGAGGGTTCTAGCGTTCGAGTGCTCTGGTTGTACGTGGTATACTGTGTAACTAAGCTCTAGATATTACAGTTGGCGACAGTTCTGACTTATTACGATCTCAAGTATACTTCGTATACTTGTCATGAAACTATTTGGCGAACACTTAAGTATCTCATTAGCTAACGAAAAACCACTAAATTAATCAGAGGCCAGCTCAGCGCCTTCCTGTGAAATTACTAACGTTGACTTCAATTTACTGAATATTTCTATGACAATTAGCGCACAGAAACACACTTACACTGATGGATTGGGTGGTATTCCAGCTAGCATGCTAAAAAGTGGAGGTGTGGATCTGTGTGTTATACACCTCGACCTATTCAAAGTATCACTCTCTACAGCATATTACCCCGCTGCCTAGAAAACCACATAAACCATTCGCAAAATTAAGACAGGACCTGAAGCGAACACTGAAAATTACCTGCCCACAAACATTGCCTTAGCGGTATCTTGAGTGATGGAAAAAGTAGTTAAGGTGATGGTAGTTCGACATCTACTTACTGATCTGCCTTCAAGCTCGTTCTGATACCTAAGAGGACGAGAGGTAAGGCCTCGTACCAATTGTCGTTTTCGTGTGCTTGAAGAGCACTTTTAAGTTGGTGATGAAACCGTTCAACCAGATCATTTGATGCTGGGTGGTAGGCGGTGGTGCGTATACGTTCCATACCAAGCAGCTGTGTTAGTGAGGAGAATAATGCGAACTCGAATTGTTGTCCTCGGTCAGTCGTGACAGTCAAAGGACAACCGTATAGTGCTATCCATCGTTCTACAAAGCGGTGAGCAACTGTCTCCATCGTAATAGACGTGATGGGAATAGCTTCGGGCCATCTTGTAAGACGATCAATGCACGTGAGTATGTGGTCAGGATGAGCAAGGAGTATGACTTGAGCCAGAGTCGTTTTGATCGCTGAAAATGCAGTACGTGCAGCATCGTTCAATTCTAATTTGCGTGGATTACCGTGAAGTAAATCGGTCAGTGGTCGTAACCGTTCTGCCGCGTGTAGGATGAAACGTCGGTATAAGTTAACCAAACCGAGAAATGCCTTCAATTCCTTGAGTGTGGAAGGTACGGTGCACTCCCTTATTGCACGTACTTTGTCCTTGCAAGTTAAAATAACCTCTTGCTTAATGATATGACCTGAGAACATTATTTCCGATTTGCTCAGTTCACACTTGTCCGGGTTGATTACTATTCCATTATCCGAAAGGCGTTGGAATAAAAGTGCAAGATGTTGATAATAATAATATATTTCTGCATGAGCAGGTACATGCCATTTTTACAAGCATGATCTAAAATTACAACATTTGTTGACTTACAGCATGCTTCTCAACTTTAAGTTTATAGTTGTTATAAAGTAGACTCGTAGAGTGCTTTCTGTAAACTATAACATTGAGGAGACGCATATGTCAAGTTTGTTCCAGACGTCAGAAGTTCCACAGCTGTGCACTAAGGGCGAGATTCGGAAGAAAAAAAGAGAAACAGAAGAGCAGCAGGGCACTTGGATATGAACGCTAAGCGTTGCTTAACATTTTGTGGCAGGACAGACAGAGGTATAATGAATTAGACTAAATTCATATTATCTCTTGTTAGAGTGAAATGAAGTCAGAGACGCCATATTAGAGAATGTGTTAATAAAGAACAATGAGTTGTGATGTTTAACAAGTTGGAGTAAACTCACATGAAGGAAGGGAAGTCAAGGTTGGTACAAGAGAATCTGTTTATTAGAAGGGAGTGTGCATATAGGAGGTGAAGTGTTAAGAATACTAATAACTGTATCTTTTATTGTCTAATTTTTTCCTTTCTTTTCTTTTTTTTTGTCCGTACGATGCCAGCCACACAATCCTAGCGTAAAAGTCCGAGTTAGCATGTTATAGGTTGTCTTAGCAGAATAGCTAATCCAGCATAAAATTGGAAACATGAGTCTGAGTGGTGAGAAGACAATCTATATCACAGATTGATTGACTTATTCTCAATCGTAAAGAGCCTGATACATACAAAATGTTCTGCTCCACAGACATGGGTGTTTTGAAGTCATCGTCCTCAGCATCAATGCTTGCTGGTCAGTAACCCCACCCCCCTCCTTTTGTGATGTTAGGCTCATTTAAGCTTATTTTTGGATATATGTCATACCTCACACAATGCTCTATGTTTCACATCCTGTTGAAAAACGTTATTTCTATAAGTACCATGTTACAAGCTTATCAGGCTTACAAATTATGGACTGTGGGTAAGGCACCGATACAGTGCTTTAATTGACTATAGTATAAAGTATAGTTTGCCATCCAGAATATAAGCATTAAGAAGGGTATAATGTAGGATAGTTGTTTAGTAAAGCAGGCGGAAAAGTATAGTAGTATATGGGTTGTAGATAAGGTAACATGTAGAGAAATAATATTAATTGCTAGTCAATATAGTGTACAGAAGAGTA